ACCCAGTTTTTCATTTGATGTTTTGGTTATACCAAAACTTTGTTCAGATATGCCTTCCGTCAAAATTGATCCTAGAAATTGGTCTCACATTGCAAATTTAAATCTTGGAGATAAACAATTTCACATTCCAGCCCCAGTCGACATGCTATTAGGGGCAGATATATACTCACAAATTTTAAAATCAGGTCGATTGTTAAGTCCTCAAGGGCAACCTAATGCCTTTGAGACTGTCTTTGGTTGGGTTCTGTTAGGAAAAGTACAGGACATTTGTTTTCAACCTCCTTTAGTAGAATCCTATTTTACTTCTTTAGATCCCCCACTCGAGTTAAGCATTAGAAGATTCTGGGAGTTAGAAGCTATAGCACCTAAAGTCTATTTATCTCCTGACGATCAAAAATGCGAAAACATCTACAAGAATACTACCATTCGTGATAATTCCGGTCGCTTTGTTGTGGACCTACCTTTTCGTCATGCAGAACCCGATTTAGGTGATACATATGCATTAGCGTATCGCTGTTTTATGTCTCTGGAATCAAAACTTCTTAGAAAACCTGATTTATATGCTCTTTATTCAGATTTTATGAAAGAATATATAAAAAATGGTCACATGTCTCTGATTTCAAATGACGAACCAAAGCCAACACTTCTAAATTATCTTCCTCATCTTGGTGTCGTAACCCCTAACAAAGCTACTACAAAACTCCGTGTAGTTTTTAATGCGTCTGCTAAAGGATCAAGAGGATTAAGTCTAAATGATTCACTTTTAACTGGTCCAAAATTACAGAGCGACATAGCAGAAATTTTGCTAAAATTTAGATTTTGTCCAATTGTCTTTTTAGCAGATATAAAGCAAATGTATTTACAAATTCTTGTCAACCCCAGTCATCGAAGATTTCAAAGATTACTTTGGCGTTTTAACTCTAATGAACCGCTAAAGGAATATCAGCTAAATTGTGTTACATTTGGTGTAAGTTCCAGTCCGTATTTGGCCATTAGAACCCTAAGGGAATTAGCAGCCCTCGAACAGAAAAATTATCCCAAAGCATCTCAAGTTCTTCTGGATAATATTTTTATGGATGATATTTGTGCAGGAAGTTCAACGTTAGAAGAAGCTTTAGCTTTACAAAAGGATCTTATTGCTTTGTTAAAGACCGCTGGGTTTGAACTTAGAAAATGGGCAAGTAATAACTCCAAACTTCTTTCGAATTTGTCTCCTTCAGATTGTCAAATGCCTATATCTTTCGATAAAGAAGAACCTACTTCTATTAAAGTTTTAGGGCTTCAATGGAACCCAACTTTAGATATCTTCTCATACTCATACAGCCCCTCAGAAAAACCCTGCACAAAACGTAACATTCTCTCGGAAATTGCTCGAATTTATGACCCTTTAGGTTTTTTGTCTCCTGTATCTTTTCTTGCAAAACATATTATGCAGAGACTTTGGATAGCTGGAATTGACTGGGACGACTCCCCCTCTCAAGCTATTATTGATCTTTGGTGTCAGTTCAAAAATGAGCTTCCCAATCTTTCTAAAATTTCACTTCCTCGTTACATTTTTGATAATAAAATTCAAAGATGTCAAATTTTCGGTTTCTGTGACGCCTCCGAGATTGGCTACGCATGCGCAGTATACCTACGTCTAGAGCTACCCAATGACGTCGTTAAATGTTCTTTAGTGATGGGAAAATCGAAAGTCTCTCCTCTTCGCACTATCTCCTTGCCTCGGCTAGAACTTCTTGGAGCTACACTTCTAGCAGACTCACTTCAGTTTGTTCTTCGTACCTATTCTTCTTTAGTTACAATAGATAAAATATTTGCGTTTTCCGATTCGCAAGTGGTACTTGCTTGGCTCTCGAGCTCTCCTCATAAATGGAAGAACTTTATTGCTAATCGTGTTGCGAATGTGCAAGAAACACTACCAAACGTACCATGGTTTTATGTGCCATCATTAGAAAACCCAGCAGACTGCGCTAGTCGAGGATTGACCCCCGCAAATCTTTTAACCCATCCAATGTGGTTCCATGGACCCCCATGGATAAAATTGCCCCAAACAGAGTGGAAATTTGAAAATTTTTCTTCCCCAGGAGCAAATCTTCCGGAGTTATCCCAAGAGGAAAAAACTTTGTCACTTTCGGTGAATATCGAAGAGAATTTTCTTGACAATTTAGTCGAAAATATTTCTTCTCTATTAAAAATTCAAAGAGTCCTTAGTTATTGTCTTAGATTTATTCATAACATTAAAAATAAAGACAAAAAACTCTTTACTTCCTTTTCTTCTTTGGAGCAGCATAAATCTTTGTTAGTCTTGGTTAAAAGGGTTCAAGAACAGAATTTTTCGGAGCTAATTTTACAAATTAAAAATAACGAACTCTTACCAAAACCTTTGCGCAAACTCGCTCCATTTCTGGATGATGAGGGTTTCGTCAGAGTGGGTGGACGCCTCAGACATTCAGAACTTTCCTTTGAAGCAAAACATCCTCTTCTTTTACCCCGAAACCATAGACTTACAGATTTGTTGATTGAACAAATTCATAAACAAAACTTACATCCTGGGTTAAATACTGTTCAGTATTTATTAAGGCAGCAGTTTTGGGTCTTATCTTCTCGAAGAGCTATTCAGAAAGTTTTGTCAAAATGCATCCGTTGTTTCCGTTTAAAACCAAAAACTTACACCCCATACATGGGTGACCTACCCTCCTTTCGTACTTCCCGATTAAAATGTTTTTCTCATGTAACTTTGGATTATGCAGGACCCCTAAAAATCACGAATGGAAGATACCGAGGAGCCAAAGTCTTCAAAGCGTATGTTTGTATTTTTGTATGTTGTGCCACGAAGGCATTACATATTGAACTGGTGTCTGATCTAACAACAGACGCTTTCGTCGCAGCCTTGAGGCGCTTTGTAGCCCGACGTGGGGTTTGTACCCAAATCTGGAGTGATGTCGGCTCTAATTTTGTTGGAGCCAGTCGACAGCTCCAAGAGTTATCAAAATTGGCTTCAGAAAGTCTTCATATCACTTGGCATTTCAATCCTCCTGCCGCTCCGCATTTTAACGGTCTTAGTGAAGCAGGTGTAAAATCTGTGAAAACTCATTTATACAGGGTGATTGGAGATCAAATCCTAACCTTTGAGGAACTATCTACTTTGTTATCCCAAATAGAAGCTTTGCTAAACTCTCGACCCCTCTGTGAACAAAGTTCCGACCCCAATGATTTAGCGCCACTAACTCCAGGTCATTTCCTCACCATGGAACCTTTGAATTCTTGTCCAGATCCAGATCTGTCCCACCTAAAATTAAACACTTTATCCAGATGGCAGTTAGTACAACGCCTTCATTCAGATTTTTGGAAACGTTGGAACTCGGAATATCTAAACACTTTGCAGCAGCGCTCTAAATGGACGCAACCGACTGCAGATATAAAATTAAATACATTAGTCTTAATAAAAGACGAAACAAGACCACCATTGCACTGGTCACTGGGCAGAATAGTTGCTTTACACCCTGGTCAGGACAAACATGTAAGAGTGGTTACAGTCAAGACACAGAACGGACTTTTCAAACGTCCGGTAGTAAAGTTGTGTCCCTTGCCGGTGGTTTAACTGTTTAATCAGTTCTTTTTTTTTGTATGAGTTACGTTATTAAAGTTACCAATAATAATAATTTATTTTTTCTTTCTCTTTCTTTGGGATATTTGGGAATAGTTTTTTTTATTTTTTTTTAATTAAATTTTATTTAAACAATTTAAAAACATTCGTTTTTGTGGGCGGAAAAATGTACAAACAACTTTAATTTATAATTTCAATTTTATTATTAAAGTATTAGTTTAAATAACATACAAGTCCAATAAAAAAAAAGGGCACCAAAGAAGACGGAAGATCTTCTGTCTCACTCTCTTCGACACCGTCCGCGAACGCAGTAGCACGCGGTTACAATAACTCTCTTTGGAAATTAGCAATTTTGGTGTGTGAAAATCGTTCTAAAACTAGAAATATGAAAAGCTAAATATATGTATGTGGAAGTGCAAACCTGAAGAACCTGGAAACGAAAGGGCCCTTTACTCCGTAGAATACTAAAACGAAGGTAGGTGCTTTTTTTATACGTAATTGGTCTTGTATGGTTTAAATATTATATTTTTAATCAAAGTAAAATCATATATGCGATTACAGTCCCGCATTGCTCTCATCTAGCTTATTCTCTAAAACATTCGTACAATTTTTCTTACAAAAAATAAATAAAAACTCAATAAATACAAAAGTTTTATGCCCTTAAAGCTCTAATACCCTTCTGTATTTATTTACTGATCCAGCTATTAGCTTAAGCAATGATTAGAAAATTTAGTACCTTTGAAATTTGAAATCCATAACCACAAAATTAATTTTTTCATCAGTTTTTTTCTCTGTTTACTCAGATGAAATTGGGACCAGTTCACAGGTTAAACTTTAAACATTTAATTTGTGTAAATAAATCCAAAAGCACTTCCCTTAGTTAAGATATTTACAATTTGAAAACATAACCTAAAATTTAAAAGAAATGCACTAGATTCTGTCATAAAAGTTGGCAGATTTTGTTTGAATTTACCTTCAGTACAAAAATGAAATAACCAACAATTAATAAAAACGCCAAATTGACAATTTGCATTGTTAATTTTGTCATTTTTGTAATTAAGCTAAATTTAAACAATGTTTGTCAACTTTTTTGAGAGATTTTGGAAACACTGTTGCATATAACAAATATACTGTTGTTACCAACCATAACATAATAAATCCACCAGATTAACCTAAAGTTCCTAGTCGATCAGTGGCGTACTTTTTGGTAGGATAAAGGTTAATATAAATTATTTTTAGACTTTGGAATTTAGAAAAAAAAAGTTTCAGGTGCTTCTTTATGGACCCTAAGGAACAACCCATTTTAATATATAACATTAATTACATAACACCCTGTATATATATATAATCAATTCCCTTTTACCACTTGGTGGTGTAGGGTTTGCTAGTTATACTAGCTATACACGAATTTTCTCCATTCTTTTCTGTTCTTGGTTACTGTTTTTGCGGTTGTCCATGTCATTCCTCTCTTTTCCAGTGTGTCTGATATTACCTTATTCCAGCTTTTCCTAGGTCTTCCCTTCTTTTTTTGGATGATTTTTGCCTCCCATACTTTTTTTACTTGTCTTTTGTTGTTTAATCGCTGTAGATGTCCCCACCAGCTAAGTTGTCTCTTTTTTATAAATTCTCTAGTGGCTTCAATTTCAAGTTCTTCTCTTATGACTGCATTTCTGATTCTGTCCATTCTTGTGCTTTATCTAGTACCTACCCATGATTCGCAGCCAAACGTTAATATCGGTCTAAATACTGTTTTAAAAACATTTAATTTGGTTTTCTTTGTTATTTCTTTCTTCTTTATAAATTTGTTTTTCATAGCATAGTATAAGTTTATTGCTTTTCCTATTCTTTTATTTATTTCTGCTTCTTGTCCTCCATTATGTTCTAACTCTACCCATAGTTATTGGAAACTTTCAACTTGTTCTATTTTTGTTAATTATTATCCTTTACCTATTACCATCACTTTTGTTTTGTTTATATTCATCTTCATGTCGTAATCTTGCAAGGATTTATTTCATATATTTATATTTGTCTGTAGATTGTTTCGGTTTTTTGCCATAATTAGTAATTATGGCAAAAAACCGAAACGATCTACAGACAAATATAAATATATGGAATAAAACCTAATTATTAATTACTATGTCATCTGCAAACGCTCCCTCTGATATTTCATTGAAAATATTTTCAATCCTTTGTAGGTTTTTGTGTCCTACCAGAACTTTTTTTTATTTTTAGGTTACATTTTTTTATTATCTCATCCATAAATATTATAAATAATAATGGACTTAACCCACCCCCTTGCCTTAGTCCGTCTTGCGTTTTAAAAACTTTCGACATTCTATTATTGTTAATCACTACGTTATTATTATTATTGTATATTAATATAGCAATTGCTTTGATCATTCGTATAGTCTTTTCATTTATTCCTCTTTCTTTTAGTATTTTCAATAGTGCTTTCCTTTGTACCCTGTCGAATGCTTTTTCCATGCCTATAAATCCCAAATATAGTTTCTTTTCCTGTTGTATTATTTTCTGTGTTAATTGTTTTATTGTAAATATGTGGTCTTGTATACTTCTTCCCTTTATGAACCCACTTTGCGATTCTTCCAGTGTACTATCAATTATTGGTCTAATTTTTGTGTCCATCCATTGTTAAAATAACTTCATAGCTGTACTTAGTATTGTTATGCCTCAGTAGTTGTTGCAATCTTTTTTGTCACCCTTTAGGTAGTTTTTCTTTTTTCCATACTTTGTTGTAGGTACCTATATGTCTAATAATATTTCGGTTCCTTTTTGTCCCAAATTCTTTAGCATCTCTGAGGATATTTTGTCGTGTCCTGGTGTTTTACCATTTTTTAGTGTCTTTATTATTTCTTTTTATTCTTTTATTGATATTTTTTCTATTTGTTTTAGTTCTATATTTGTTCCTTGATTGTTTTCTACATTGTTTTCATTTTTAGCTCCTTGCCCAGTTCCTAACAGTTCTTGAAAGTATTCTCTCAATCGATCCATAATATGTGTTTCATGTGTTAGTATTTCTCCACTTTTATTCTTGATTCTACTTAATTGCACCTATTTTTTATTTCTCATTGTTTTTAGTATGTTGTAAAATAGTTTTTGGTTCTCTTTACAATTCTTTTCTAATTTTTCTCCAAATTCTATCCATGAGTTTTCTTTTGCCTTTAATACAATTTCTTTCACTTTTTTCCTTTCCTTTTTGTATGTCTCATAACTCTCTGCTGTTTTTTTTACTAGGTAACAACATGTTGTTTTTTTACTTTGATTTGTTTTTTAATTTCTTCAGTCCACCACGCAGATCTTTTCTTTTCTCCATTCTGTTAACTCACTCAAAGTTTTTTTATATTATATATGTACAAGTTATCTTATATTATATATATATATATATATAGCTATAGCTATAGCTGCTATAGCTATAGCTACAGCTGCTTGCCGACTCTGAAAATTGGGTCTTGTAAGCATTTAAGGTGTATGTATCTTGGCATTTAAGTATGTCTTATAAGCTATATTTTTTGTATATTACAATAGCCAAACCTTAAATATAAAGTTATAAGGTTAACACTTTGGACCTATTTTCCACAAGCCATCGGGCCCTCTTGATCAAGATATTTTTAAATCTTAAAAAGTAAATAAAATACTTTAAAAATGTATTATTACATTTTTGAAATAAAAAAAAGGTTATAACCTAAAATATGAGGCGCCGTTTGTCCGTAAATTATTTTTTCTATATATAAGAATATTTTTTATATATAAACTTTAAATTTCCTATATATATAGAAACTTTTTAGTTCAGATAATGCCGCTTGAGAATGAGGGCGCTTTGTGGAAAGCACTGTTGCCAGAGTGTGCCAATGCAAAGTTTTGGTCAGTGTTTCCAACATAAAGCCTGAATTATAGATTGCCTTCCTTCCTTCCTCCCGTAGTCGTGCCCGTACGATTTGTGCATCTTGTAAAAAGTCAATTTATAGATTTCCGTGTAAAATTCTGCGATGACACCTAAAATGGTTGACATTTGTTTTTGTTTATATTCTGCGTTTTACCCATTGTGTGTAAATATGAAAGATAATCATTTATATATTAGTGCAGTGATCACAATTTTAATTGCCCAGGCAGCTTGTTGTATACTGCCCAACTATGGAGAAAGGCAGTAACTGCTAAACAAGAAATTTGTGGGAAATTAGCATAAACTACATTTTTATGAAAAGCAGTAGGTATTTAACTGATTTATTTAACTTAAAAGATAGTTTACTGCATTTCTTTGTTGAATTAAGATACAAAATGTCCATAGCTTTATCATAGCACAAGAAGTTACTGCCTTTCTCTATAGTAGGGAAGTATAATGAAAAAAAAACATCGAACAAGACGTTGGAATACTCGCCCACTTTACCAAGACCGGGAAACTACTGGGTTTTACAAAGCAACCTTTCTAAAAATGAAAGACATTGATCATAAACAATATCTAAATATCGTATTTAGAGACACAAATTATTTAATAAACTGAACACCTATCTTAAATGAGGAGTGATTTTTCAAAAGGCCTTATTTCCATTTTTACTTGAATGTAATTTTTTGACAAAATCTCAAAGGTATGGTTAAAAGGCATATATTAACGGCGAAATATGATAGCAGGTCTGAATTATTATTAAATATTCATCAGATTTTTTTTTAAATAATCTATATTGCCCTAAGTTAGGGCCCCTAACCTATACAGGTTATATAGTCATTTTTTTGAAAAATTGTTGCAAATGGAAATACGACCTTTTGAAAAATCACTCCTCAAATAATACTAAACAATCATGTATTTTAAATATTTTGTGTATACGCGCTGTCACCCTACAGCACATGTCCATAACAAACACTGTGATTGGTCATGTCAAAGACCTTTACGGTGAAAGATAAAACTTAAAAATTTCTACGGGAGGAAGGAATGCCGTCCTTACGGTACGGTAAACATTTTTGACGTAGTTGTCACCATTAACATTGCTCGTTATTAATTTTAATTAAACTTAACAATTATTGATACCTTAAAATATTAAAAGTACTTCAAAATATGATTTTGTTAAGAAAATATTTTAATATTTGACATTTTTTATTACTATAATTGCAAAATATCACAAAGTATTATAAATTTCTACACGGGAAATGTTAATGGTGACAATTACGAAATGTTCATCTTCTACGGGAGGAAGGAAGGAAGGAAAGAAGGAAGGAAGGCAGTCTATAATTCAGGCTTAACGGATCTTCGGCCAGATCTAGCGGAACAAAATGATAGCAAAAAGTATGGGATTTTAGTTTTTTTAAATACTTATAGGTAATATATTGGTCGTCTCTATTTCTCTAAATAAATACGGCTTCGTTTTTACTAATGGGTATTTAAAAAACGCCGTGACTAGAAGTACACCGGGAGTACGGGCATTAAACGTACTATGCTCCACACCTCTAAGTCCCACCACGTGATCACGTACGGAACGCAGTCTTTTGAAAATTTGGCATTTAAGGCTTTTCAGGTTATGTATCTGTCAAAGTATAGTCAACGAAAGAAATAATATTATGTTTAGGCGTTAAAAATGTATAAATCTTTATAACATTAGAATAACAATGAATGGTTTAAGAATTTAAGAATATAAATACTGCATTTAAGGAAATTCCAAAGTGTATGGTGCCAAATAAGTAATATTTTTGTGCATTTGGTCCAAATATCTGGTTTTCTCCATAAAATAATTATTAAAATTAATTTTAACTAAACGGCATTTATTTAAAAAAATCTTGCTTTTCTATTATGGAATAAGAATATCTGTATTAAAGGTAGGTTAATATATTATAACAAAAATATCATCTAATTTTGTAATTTTAAGGTTAGAAAAATTTATTTTGACCAAAATAAATAAGTATTTTGGATTATTTAAAAGACTGTATAATATGGTATTTTAAAATGTGGTAGTTTTTTTTATCCAGCTTAAAGTCTACCTAAATAAAGTTTTGTCAATACAAATAGTTAAAAAGCTTTGACTGAATTTGATCTACATCAAAAAATCATTATAACTTTAAAAATTTTAATAATTCACATGTCATGGGAGTATTAAATATTTTCACATTGCAAATTTCTCTAAAAATTGTTTGTTTTCTTATAATCTAACTTAAAGTAAGTATGCCGAGAGGTATGCACAAGTTTTGTCATTAGAAGTATAAATTTTAACTATATTCAACAATTATTACGAGATGCTAAATGCCACTAGCGGCTCCTCTTACTGCGCATGATCGCTTAATTGACAAATGTGCCGCGATTGACCATATGCAAGGAATGCGGTCGATGTTGCCAATGGTAAAAAAATAAAATTCCCTATTGGGAACATTCAATTAAATTACGTTGGCTGCATTGAAAATTTTAATTTCCCGCACAAACTAAATTAATTTCCATCTTTTTTTGTAATAATAATAAATAATAAAAATTCCCACATTTGAAATTCGCACCTTAATTTATTATACAACATTGGAACTACCTTCTTTATCTCTGGGAACTACTAGAATGTATGTCAGTTTGTGCGGGAAATTCAAAATTTCAGTGTAGCCAACGTAATATAAATTAATGTTCCCAATAGGGAATTTTATTTTTTTACCATTGCAACATCGACCGCATTCCTTGCAATTGAAAATGTTAAAGACATGTTA